TGATGTCATTGCTTATATCAATTTAGTATTGATGTCATTGCTTACATCAATTTAGTTAGGTGAAAATTAAATATTTTTCTCATGTTTTAATTTCAATGGTTTAGATTATTTTGTGATTATTTTAATGAGTGGTTTAGATTGTTTCTTGTAACCTATAAATACCCTACTTGTATTTGAGTTTTATCATCCAACAATCAAAGCTTAATTATAAGCATTTGAAAGCTTTCTTAAGAGTTCTTCCCTTTTGCAATTTTGTGAGATTATTCTAAAGAGTTTTTCTTCTTCTCAATCAATTAGAGTTTTTACTCTATTTTTTATTCAACAATTGGTATCCGAGCCACGTTTTTAATGTCTCTTGAAATTATGAGTATGCTCTGTGGCTGTAGTTTTTAACTGATCTTCCACATCAGAAAATATTTCTTGAGTTATTGTCGGGGTTATTACAAACCTTATGGAGCTTCTTTGTGTTTAGAGTAATTTAGTACTCTGCACGTTTGTTACTCAAGCTGGTTCGGTGTAGTCAAAGTCTTGCCGTTAAGATGGGTGATCTTCAAGTAGTTGGAGGAATCAAGAAGCTCAACAACAAAAACTACAACACGTGGGCAACATGTATGGAGTCATACTTACAGGGTCAAGACTTTTGGGAGGTTGTCAGTGGTGGTGAAGTTACACAACCGGCGACAGAAGATGCCAATGGCATCTTGCGAAAGTGGAAAATTAAAGCAGGCAAAGCAATGTTTGCTTTAAAGACCACAATTGAAGAAGAAATGTTGGAGCACATCCGGGATGCTAAAACACCAAAGGAAGCATGGGACACTTTTGTTACACTCTTTTCGAAGAGGAACGATACAAAATTGCAACTTCTCGAGAATGAACTTCTATCAATGGCGCAACGCGACATGGCGGTTGCCCAATACTTTCACAAGGTGAAGTCGATATGTCGTGAAATTTCAGAATTAGATCCGACAGCTGCTATTGGGGAAGCCAGGATAAAAAGAATAATTGTCCATGGTTTGAGACCCGAATATCGAGGGTTTGTTGCCGCTGTACAAGGATGGCCAACACAACCATGGCCAAGCAAATGGGATGAGTCTCACTGAAGGGTGAAGAGGAAGCGCTCTACACCAGCAAAAGCAGAGGCACTTTTCAGCGATATACTGGCAGTGGATCTAAAAAGGATGGTGACAAGGTGAAAAATTACCAAGGAAAGGGAGGCCCTCATTCAGGGGGAGCATCCAAGAATCGCGGTAATAGTAGAAAGTTCGATGGCAAGTGTTACAACTGCGGAAAGATGGGTCACATGGAAAAAGACTGTTGGACCAAGAAAAAGCCTGTTGAAAGCAATACTGCTACTTCCAGTTCGAAGGAGAATAGTGAAGATGGTTGGGATGCTGAAGCGTTATTTGCTACAGAAGAAGAAGAATTAACTCTCACGGTAACAACACCAGAACGGATTGACTACAAGAATGATTGGATCGTAGATTCGGGCTGCTCAAATCATATGACGGGTGACAAACAGAAGTTGCAAAACCTGTCTGAGTATAATGGAGGTCGTGTGGTGGTGACAACTGACGACTCAAGGTTACCGATAACTCACATCGGTAAGACGATAGTTACACCTTGACATAATACTAACCAGGTGCAACTTCAAGATGTTTACCATATCCCAGGAATGAAGAAAAATTTGCTATCTGTGGCTCAACTAACATCATCAGGCCGTTATGTCTTATTTGGTCCCAAAGACATGAAGGTTTATCGTGACGTCAAAATCTCAGAAAGACCAACAATGGAGGGACGACGTTTGGAGTCAATTTACGTGATGTCAGCAGAGTCTGCATATGTAGACAGGACAAGAAAAAATGAGACATCAGATCTATGGTACATACGGTTAGGTCACGTTAGCTATTCCAAGCTAAGTGTGATGGTGAAAAAGTCGATGCTTAAGGGGCTTCCTCAACTAGACGTGAGAACATACATGGTTTGTGCGGGATGCCAGTATGGTAAAGCACACCAATTATCATATGACGAGTCGAAGTTTAAAGAAAAAGAACCGTTGGAGTTGGTTCACTCTGATGTGTTCGGACCGGTTAAGCAACAGTCAATTAGCGGTATGCGGTACATGGTAACATTCATTGATGACTTCTCCAAGTATGTGTGGGTTTTCTTTATGAAAGAAAAATCTGATACTTTCTCAAAGTTTAAAGTGTTCAGAGACTCAACTGAAGGAGAAGTGGGAAAGAAGATATGTTGCTTGCGCACAGACAACGGAGGAGAATATAGATCAAACGAGTTCTCTCAATACCTAAGGGAATGTCGAATACGTCATCAGTACACTTGTGCCAACACGCCACAACAGAATGGTGTAGCAGAAAGAAAAAATCGGTATCTTGCAGAAATTTGTCGAAGTATGCTACATGCAAAGAATGTACCTGGAAGGTTTTAGGCTGAAGCAATGAGGACTGCAGCCTTTGTGATCAACAAACTTTCTCAACCAAGGTTAGGATTTGTTTCACCCTTTGAGAAACTATGGAACATAAAACCTACAGTTAGCTACTTTCGAGTATTTGGTTGTGTATGTTATGTGTTTGTTCTTGATCATTTACGGAGCAAATTTGACAAGAAAGCTGTTAGATGTATCTTTGTGGGATATGACAGCCAGAGAAAGGGGTGAAAATGTTGTGATCTAATTAGTGGAAGATGCTACACGTCACGAAATGTGGTATTTGATGAAGCATCTTCTTGGTGGTCCTCAGAGAAGGAGGTGTTGCCAGATTCGAGAGAATTTGGAGACAAACTACAACAAAAGATGGGGGAGCATGTTGTTCAACTTCAAACAAGTTCAGATGAATCATAAGATCCAAATGACGATGATATCGAACAAAGAGTGACTCAGAATCCTTGGCAAACTGGCGTGTATCAACAACGAAACGAAGAAGGTGGGCCTAGTGAAACAGAAGAATCAATTCCACAATCTCAACTCCGAAGGTCAACAAGAATACGAAGGCCAAATCCCAAATATGCCAATGCAGCCATAATTGAAGAAGCAACGGAGCCTGAGACGTTCGAAGAAGCATCGAAGAGTTTTGAGTGGATGATAGCTATGAAAGAAGAGATCGATGCACTTCAGCAAAATCAAACTTGGGATATTGTACCAAAGATAAAAGATGTGAAACCCATATCTTGCAAATGGGTTTACAAGATAAAGCGCCGTCCAGATAGGTCAATCGAGAGGTACAAAGCGCGATTGGTAGCTCGTGGTTTCTCTTAACAGTATGGACTAGACTATGATGAAACATTTAGTCCAGTGGCAAAACTTACAACCGTACGAGTCTTACTTGCACTTGCAGCCAACAAAGACTGGAACTTGTGGCAGATGGAAGTGAAGAATGTTTTTCTTCATGGAGAGCTAGATCGAGAGATCTATATAACCCAACCAATGGGTTTTCAGAGTCAAGATCATCCTGAATATGTGTGTAAGCTGCGAAAAGCATTCTACGGATTGAAACAAGCACCTAGGGCGTGGTATGGTAAGATTGCTGAATTTCTAACGAAAAGTGGTTATTCAGTAACACCTACAGATTCTAGCTTGTTTGTCAAAGCCAATAAAGGTAAGCTAGCTATCGTGCTAGTGTACGTGGATGACTTAATCATAACCGGTGATGATGAGGCAGAAATTCTTCAGACGAAGGAGAATTTATCAGTTCGTTTCCAGATTAAGGAACTTGGACAAGTTAAGCACTTCCTTGGTCTAGAGGTTGATCGCATACACGAAGGAATATTTTTGTGTCAACAGAAATATGCTAAAGATTTGTTGAAGAGGTTTGGAATGCTCGAGTGCAAGTCAACTTCAACGCCAATGGAACCAAATGTCAAAATGTGTGCACATGAAGGAAAAGATTTGGAAGATGAAACAATGTATCGACAATTGGTAGGTAGTCTGATCTACTTAACCTTGACTCGACCTGACATTTCTTATGCAGTTGGTGTGATGAGTCGGTATATGCAAAATCCAAAGAAGCCTCATTTGGAAGCAGTTCGACGAATACTGAGATATGTGAAGAGTACAATTTACTATGGTCTTTTGTACAAGAAAGGTGAAGACTGCAAGTTAGTTGGTTATTGTGATGCTGATTATGCAGGAGATCGACAACTGGGTATGTGTTTAAGCTTGGCTCCAGAACAATTTCTTGGTGTAGCAAGAGACAACCAACTGTATCATTGTCAACCATTGAAGCTGAGTATCGAGCAGCAGCAATGGCAGCTCAAGAGAGTACATGGTTGATACAGTTGATGAATAATCTACATCAACCAGTAAATTATGCAATTCCGTTATACTGTGACAACCAATCGACAATTCGGCTGGCGGAGAATCATGTTTTTCATGCAAGAACTAAACATGTGGAAGTACATTATCACTTTGTTAGGGAAAAAGTTTTGCAAGAAGAGATTGAGATGAGGCAAATCAAGACAGATGAGCAAATTGCTGACTTGTTTACAAAAAGCTTGAGTGTTGGAAAGTTTGAACATTTCCGTCATCAACATAGCGTGATTCAAAGAATGGAGGCTAACATTGAGGGGGAGTGTTGAAAATTCAATATTAGCCTAAATAAGTTCACACCTAAATTAATTTGATGTCATTGCTTACATCAATTTAGTATTGATGTCATTGCTTACATCAATTTAGTTAGGTGAAAATTAAATATTTTTCTCATGTTTTAATTTCAATGGTTTAGATTATTTTGTGATTATTTTAATGAGTGGTTTAGATTGTTTCTTGTAACCTATAAATACCCTACTTGTATTTGAGTTTTATCATCCAACAATCAAAGCTTAATTATAAGCATTTGAAAGTTTTCTTAAGAGTTCTTACCTTTCATAATTTTGTGATATTATTCTAAAGAGTTTTTCTTTTTCTCAATCAATTAGAGTTTTTACTCTATTTTTTATTAAACAGACCATTGTTACCTACTTGTATTGATGAAAATCAAGCGACATTTGTGATGGGTCGGCTTTTCTCTGATAATGTCCTTATCGCTCATGAGTTACTGCATTATCTCAAGACTGCGTCTCTCGGGGTTAGTCGGGGTGCGGCAGTGCAGATTGATGTGGAAAACGCATACGACCGTGTTGAGTGGTCTTTCCTCCGGAATATGATGCTTCGTCTTGGCTTTGCTCTCTCTTGGGTTTCGCTCATTATGTCTTGTGTTACCTCAGTCACATACTGTGCTCGAGTTAATGGTTGTCTTACAGAACGTTTTCGGCTATCACGTGATCTTAGGCAAGGTGATCCATTATCACCCTTTTTGTTTCTGTTGTGCTCTCAAGGGATGTCGTGTTTCCTACATAATGAGCAGCGTTCTCATCATCTTCAAGGCTTAAGGGTTTGACGATTGGTGACGCGCATCACTGATCTATTTTATGCAAATGATAGCATATTATTTCTCCACACATCGAATGCTGAATTCAATTGTGTTAGGGAGATTCTTCATACTTATGGAGCAGCCTCTACTCAACATGTGAATTTAACAAGTTCAGTGTCTATTTTTGTGTTAACACAACAATCTTCGTTCGTGTTGCTTTAAGAGCTATTCTTGGGGTCTCAGTAATTGATGACCCAGGCAGATATATAGGTGCTTCTCTAGTTATTGGCCGAAACATGACAACAGCATTTGGTTTCATCCGGAATAAATTGCTGGCAAATGTTCGAGGTTGGACAAAACATCTCCTATCATTCGGTGGTCGGGCAACTTACATTCAATCCGTCGAGCAGGCTATCCCGACTTATATTATGGGATGCTATTTGCTGCCAGAATGAGTGATTACAGACTTGGAGACTATTCTTCGTTCTTATTGGTGGGCGAGTAACCCGACCGAGCGAGGATGGCCGATGGTGGCATGGGAAACTATTTGTCGACCGAAGCATCTACGAGACCTGGAATTCCGTAATCTCCGCCAATTCAATCTTGCTTTATTGGGCAAGCTCGTATGGCGTTGCAGTCATTCCACATCGAGTTTGCTTACTCGTGTTAACTTCGAAAAACTTTCCAAATGGCTGCATTTTTTATGCCCAGTTAGGTGTGAGACCTTATGCTTGCAAGGTATATACAACTCCATTTTGGCTCTTCGTGTGGGGTTTCACTGGCGTGTTGGTCAAAATAGCACAGTCCGTATGTTAGTAGATCGTTGGGGGCTTCATCTCTGATTACTTTTGAGACAACATATGTTGATAATAGTCTCAACCCTCTTCGTTGTGGACAATTTATGCATCTGAATGAATCACGATGGAATGAGAACTTGGCGCATGAAGTTTTTCAGCCTGCGGATGCAGCGATAATCCTTGCTTGTCAGTTGTCCCATTGCTCCGGTTATGCAAGAAAGTTTGATTTGGAGTGGTCACTCTTCCAGGGTTTTTTCAGTCAGATCAAGTTACTTCTTCCTTCTTCGCCAACACCGTCGTGACATTGTTCCATAATCTCTTTGGTTACATTTGTCCAGGTTGCCCATCCCTCCTAAGATCAGAGTGTTTGGTTAGCAGTTGGCGCATGAAACCCTTCCAATCGGGCGACGTCTTCAGCTGGCTGGCATGACAATGGGAACCTGTCCGTTTTGTAGGGCTACATAAAGACATGTTTACATTGTTGAAGTCAAACTCAATTATTATAGAAAAATGTAGAAACAAAGAAAGGTGGCAGCAACTTTTATTAGTTTTGGAAGCATGCTAATAATAAAGAAAAAAACGTGGCAATGCACTAGTATGTCTGCAAAGATTTTTTAATGAAAGCAGTAATTGTTGCAACAAACATGAGGTGGCAAGAGGAATTGAGAAACATTCAGAGCAAGTAATGTCGGTTTATTATATATATATATATATATATATGTGAGTAAAGCAAGCAGGTAGTGTAGGAAAGTGAGGAAAAGAGTGAGGAAAAGAGTGAGTAACGAGAGACAAAAAAAAATAGAGAGAATTGAGAGAGTTTAGCAAAGCTTAAAATAGTGAGGTGTTTGTAAACTAGCAGCAGCTAGTATTGTAGTATTGTAATAATAAAGTAGTGACGTTGTAAAATATTTTATTTCGTATTAATTAAAAATTCGAGTTATAAATTATTGAGTGCCCATCTACGCTTTCAACAAGTGGCCTCAGAGCTTGGTTTGAGTTCAACGTGGTGGAGAAGATGACCAACATGATTCAACCTCAAATCCTGAGATTGACAAAGACGAATTATGACAATTGGAGCATTCAAATGAAGACGTTACTAGGCTCTCAAGATTGTTGGGATATCATCGAGGATGGTTATACCGAGCCTGAAAATGCAGCAGCAGAAGCAGCCCTGGCCAATGAAGAAAAAAAGATATTGAAGGAATCTCGAAAAAAATAAAAGAATGTTGTTCTTTATTTTTCAAAGAGTAGACGAATCTACTTTTGAAAAAATTTCTGATGCGAAGACCGCAAAACAAGCATGAGAGATCTTGCAAAAATCTCTACAAGGTGCCGAAAAAGAAAAAAAAAAGGTACGCTTACAAACTCTCAGAGCTGAGTTTGAGATGTTAAAAATAAAAATACAGAAAACATCGATGATTATTTTAGCCGTGTGAAAACAGTCGTAAATGAAATGAAAAGAAATGGTGAATCACTCGACAATGTTAGAGTGATGGAAAAAATTTTGCGGTCATTGACAAGAAAATTTGATTACGTGGTGGTGGCAATCGAAGAATCGAAAGATTTATCTCAGATATCGATCGATGAGCTTGTGGGTTCACTTCAAGCCCATTAGCAGAAAATAAAACAAAATGAAGATTCAGAAAATTTGGAGCAATCTCTACAAAGCAAAATGAATGTCAACGAAGGAGAAGCTACCAGCAGCTACACACGAGGTGAAGGAAATCGTGGTGGTTATCGTGGAAGATACAGAGGAGGACGAGGAACTCGTGGACGTGGTGGCCGATCATATAGCACCGATCAAATGAGTGAAATCAATCCAACATCAGGTCGTGGAAGAGAATTCAGAGGCCGAGGTAGAGGTAGATATCAGCAAGGAAATAAATTCCAGGTACAATGTTATAATTGCAATAAGTATGGTCATTATAGTTATGACTGTAGATCTGCTCCTAAACAAAAAGAAAGAAATAACGTAGCAGCAGCTGAAGAAGAAAAAATTGAAAAATCTCATGTATTCCTCACTTATAAAGGAAATGAAGAATTCAAGAAAAATATTTGGTATCTTGATAATTGTGCCAGTAACCATATGTGTAGTCAAAGGGAACTGTTTGTGAAATTAGATGAAACAATTCATGGACGAGTAACGTTCGGAGATGACTCGCACGCAGAACTAAAAGGAAAAGGTGAAGTCATGATTACTCAGGGAAATGGAGAAAATAAATATATTTCAGATGTTTATTATGTACCTGCTTTGAAAAGAAATATCATAAGTATTGATCAACTCCTGGAAAAAGGATATGAAGTACAGATGAAGAATCGCTCGCTTGCCATCAAAAATAAAGAAGGAGAATTGATAGCCCAAGCTGCTATGACTCGAAATCGTCTCTTTACAATTGATATCGAGTCAGGAGAAGTCAAGTGCATGAAGACCGCGATCAAAGATGATTCATGGAGGTGGCATCTAAGATATGGACATCTTGGATTTTCTGGTTTGAAGTTGTTATAAAAAACAAACATGGTGAAAGGACTACCAGAGATCAACCCTCCAAATCAAATATGTGAGGCTTGCATCAAAGGAAAACAACATAGACAAAGCTTTGAAGTTGGTAGATCCTGGCGTGCCCGAAGACCGTTGGAGATAATACACACAGATATAGCTGGTCCTTTTGATATATCATCGCTTGGCGGTAATAGGTACTATCTAACTTTTATTGATGATTTTAGTAGAAAATGTTGGATTTACATCTTGAAAGAAAAGTCAGAAGCGCTGGAAAAATTGAAAGAATTTAAAGCAATGGCGAAAAAACAAAGCGGTCAATATTTGAAGATACTCAGATCAGATAGAGGAGGCGAATATACATCAAAGTTATTTGAAGAATTCTGCAAAGAGCATGACATCATCAATCAACTGACATCCAGATACACGCCACAACAAAATGGAGTTGCAGAAAGAAAGAATCGCACAATTCTTGACATGGCGAGAAGCATGATAAAAGGTAAGCAACTACCGAGAAATTTCTGGGCTGAAGCAGTTCGATGTGCAGTTTACCTATTGAACCGATGTCCAACAAAAAGTGTGAAGTATATGACGTCAAACGAAGCATGGAGTGGTCAGAAACCAGGAGTTGGACACCTCAAGATTTTTTGATGCATCGCATATGCCCACGTTCCTGAACAGACCAGAAAAAAACTTGATGACAGAGGAGAAAAATGTATTTTCATTGGCTATGATGAAAGAAACAAAGCTTACAGATTATATAATCCTCTTACCAAGAAAGTAATAATTTCAAGAGATGTCGAGTTCGATGAAGCAGACTATTGGAGATGGAGCAAAGAGGAAAAGAAAGTTGAAGGACTATTTTTTAATGAAGATAAAGATGATGAACAAGGTACTCAACAAAATGTACCATCGACTTCAAGCAGCAGCAGCAATGCCAGCAACATAATAGAAGATCCTGAAGCACCTCCCACAGAACTTCGAAGATCCACAAGAGAGAGAAGAATGCCAGAAAGGTACAACGATTATGAATTAAATAATATTTCACTATTCAGTCTTTTTGCAAAGAGTAATCTCATAACAAATGAAGAATCAATTGGAAAAGACAAGTGAAGAAAAGCTTGGAATGGAAAGTCGAGTTTGAGGGGAGTGTTGAAGTCAAACTCAATTATTATAGAAAAATGTAGAAACAAAGAAAGGTGGCAGCAACTTTTATTAGTTTTGGAAGCATGCTAATAATAAAGAAAAAAACGTGGCAATGCACTAGTATGTCTGGCAAAGATTTTTTAATGAAAGCAATAATTGTTGCAACAAACATGAGGTGGCAAGAAGAATTGAGAAGCATCCAGAGCAAGTAATGTCGGTTTATTATATATATATATATATATGTGAGCAAAGCAAACAGGTAGTGTAGGAAAGTGAGGAAAAGAGTGAATAACGAGAGAGAAAAAATAGAGAGAATTGAGAGAGCTTAGCAAATCTTAAAATAGTGAGGTTGTGTTTGTAAACTAGCAGCAGCTAGTATTGCAGTATTGTATTAGTAAGGTAGTGTCGTTGTAAAATATTTTGTTTCGTATTAATTAAAAGTTCGAGTTATAAATTATTGAGTGTCTATCTACGCTTCCAACATACATGCAATCCGAGATTGTGTGGATACAATGAATATTTTGCAATATGCTGGTTTCGATTCTTCAGTTTTTCAGAACCCAAGACAGTCTTGTGGCGATTGGTTACATCATTTACAGAGTCTTCTATCTCATGATGAATATCGACTACTGCTGGTAATCTTGTATTTTGTTTGGAATCGTCGGAACGCTTTTATCAACGACAGCCGATTAACTCCAGGATGACAAGTTATAATTTCCAGCAAGTCTTTATTAGCTTCATTTGACACTGCTATTGGACTCTCAGGTACACCATTGTCTGCAGCAGGTTACCTTTCAGACCATTGGAGCAAACCGCCCGTGTCCACTATCAAAATCAACGAGGACGCTGCATGTTCCTACTCAGATCGAAAGTCAGCTACGGGGTTGTGGTACGTGATCATAGGTTAGTTCTTGAATGTCATGCAATTCCAATCTCAGGCTCTTATAATGTTGGGGTTGCTGAAGCTATTACTATAACTCGGGGATTACGCTTGGCAATTGAGCTCAATTACAAGCAGGTTGGGGTGGAAAGTGATGCTTCCAACGTAGTCTGTCAATTAACAGGTTCACAGCTTGATCTCTCCATTATTGGCCTCCATCTTACTGGTGCACGTCGTTTACTCTCTGACAATAGGGGTTTCAGTGTACATGGAATCCGGCTAATGCAGCAGCTCATATTGTAGCTCAATATGCGTTATCACTTTCTGATGCTATGTATTTTGCTTATGACTACCTACCCTCCATATATTTCGGATGTACTTATTACTGATGCCCTTAACGGCTAAGCTTATAAAACCCGTTTTATTTTAAAAAAAATATATAAAAATAAGGAACTACTAGTAAACTGCCATTTTAATGGCATGCATATGAATATGAGATGCTAACTGGTGCATAACTGCATATGGCACATGGGATTCATCCTTTTCCAGTCAATTCCGCCACAGGAACAGCCTGTTCCTATGTATTTCTTTCTTCAAGTGTTCATTTCAATAATTTCTTCTTTTCTCTTTGCTTTTGACATCATTCCAAGTATATTTTTTCCATGCTCAATAAACAACAAGCAAAACTCTTTAATTCCATGCTTGTTCGCTCCACAAATATTTACATGACAATGATGATATTGGTAGAACTAAATCTTTAAGTTGATTGCTTTATCCATTCATGGGAAGGATAGAATCAAGCCATTTCCCTATTACTATTCTGCAGTAAAACCAAAATTCAAAGTCAAAGAATTGATAAAAGTTGAAAAGGACATATCAACACCCGCATGGAATTTGTCATTACTAGTTTATTACAGGTGTTTTGCTTTGGTTCTGTACCACAGCCGCCTTCTTCGTCCTCCTTTTCTCTCCCTTTGATCTTTCTTACATCGCTGTTATAATAATCAATGCTTTGGTAAAAGTATATTTCAAGCATCCGTATGCTTTGATAAACAAATTCATTCTGAACAAAAACTTTGTTTTTAAAGCGCAGACAGAGACCAAACTCTGCAAACAGACAGAGTTGACATAGTTGCTGATTTTCAAGGTTTGTTCTACTTCTATGGTTTTGTTTTGGTGTTTATTTCTTCTTCTTTCTCGGAACAGAGTTCTGTTTATCTGCTGGTAGTGTATATGTTTTGATGATTGAACTGAAACGGTTCCTTTTAAGTATAAGCTTGATGGGAGTAAGAGGTTTCAATCATGGAAGTAGGAACTGTGTTGCTGGCCTTTTTTGTTGATCATGCTCATCATATAGAGGTATGAACATGTTTAGGTGCCGTTGAGGAACTTCCGAGGTGTCCCTTCGGCCTCGGGGGGACAATACCTTTAAGGGTGTCTCGATTTTTCAACGAAAAATTGAATATCCAGGAAGAATTCAATCATCTTAATGATAATTTCTGGCTAGTGTGATGTTTTACAATGTTATAGGGGCAGTGGTAAAACAGACTATATATGGATAGGTTAGGATATAAGCTAAACCTTGAAGGGTCGATTTTTCGACGGAAAAACCGAATATCCGAGAAGAGTTCGATCATCTTAATGATAATTTTTGACTTGTGTGATGTTTTACCATGTTATACAGGCTATGGTAAAACAGACTATATTCATAGGTTAGGATATAGGCTATGTAGTTGCAAACCAGACCAAAGCCTGAGTCTGAGAGATAAACATTTGCAGTCCTAGAAGACATTGGTATTTTTTTCGGATTGTCCGGAGTTTGAACTGAGACTAGGTGTCAATTGAAGAACCAATAACGATGCTAGCTGACGAAGGCGCTCGGTATTTAAATATATACATAATAATTTTCGAAATGATCACGTGTTTCATCCTTCCTGTCTGTCAATATTTCATTTCTTAATGTCTATATGCTAACTAGCAGGAAAAAGGAAAGAAACATGAGTTGCTTTTGCTGTTGTGAAGAAGATGACACATATAAAGCTTCTAAAACCGGACCATTCATGACGAATAACCCTGCAAGTAATTATACAGTCTCATCTCTTTGTAAAGTTTCATGCGTAAATATGCTTAAATTATTAACATATATGTGTGTAGGCAATGTTGGAGTATATGGATATCAAGAAAGGGCAGCAGCTGTTACAAGGGATCCACAGCCTCCTGTTATCATTCAACCGATTACCGTCCCTGCCTTGTCGGTCGATGAGCTAAAGGAAATGACCGATAATTTCGGCAACAAATCGTTAATCGGAGAGGGGTCTTATGGAAGCGCATACTATGGCGTTCTAAAGAATGGGAAGGCTGCTGCCATAAAAAAGTTGGACTCCAGTAAGCAACCGGAACAAGAATTTCTAGTGCAGGTTGGACCTTCCCTTAACAAATTTCATCGAATAAAACGATGCTGACATGTATTGCAGAATGCATGACTTCGCTATTCCGAATAACGTAACTAACAGGTCTCCATGGTATCGAGACTGAAACACGAGAACGTTGTTGAGCTTCTCGGTTACTGCAGTGATGGATCCCACAGTTTCTTGGCGTATGAGTATGCTCCTAATGGATCTCTCCATGATGTGCTTCACGGTAAGCAATCTGTGAGTGTCTGTGTGTGTTGCATGGTGGACTAATGCGATTATTTGGTTAATTAACATATACAGGGAAGAAAGGTGTGAAAGGAGCACAGCCAGGTCCAGTTCTGTCATGGACACAGCGAGTTAAAATTGCAGTTGAGGCTGCAAAAGGCCTTGAATACTTGCACGAAAAGACACGTCCTCGTGTAGTCCACCGTGATATTAAGTCCTGCAATCTACTACTTTTCGATGATAATGTTGCCAAGATTGCTGATTTCGATTTGTCGAATCAAGCCCCTGATGCAACCGCTCGTCTCCATTCCACACGCGTTCTTGGAACCTTTGGTTATCATGCTCCAGAGTAAGTTGTTCCTTCACCTCTTTCTGGCTTTAAGTTTTCGATTTTGCATCTTGCTGAGTTCGAGTAATCGATCAGTCAAACAGAAGTAACTAACAAGAATGAAAGTATGTTGGCATATGTAATCTACATGTTCTTTCATCTCTTTTGAGCTGCCCTTTGCCAAATATATAAACCAGCCACATGATAGTTGACAGTATGATAGTGATTAATTCCAGCTTGTGACATTGAATGGTAGATTTGCAATGACGGGAACGCTTACTTCGAAGAGCAATGTCTACAGCTTCGGCGTCATCCTTCTGGAGCTCTTAACTGGACGTAAACCAGTTGATCATACGATGCCACGCGGACAGCAGAGTCTCGTTACATGGGTACTATTACTATTTGATAAATTCGTATTCACCGTATCTTCACAATAATATCTTATCTGCATGTGTATATTTTCATTTGCGGCCGCATTAGGCAACCCCAAAACTAAGCGAAGACAAGGTGAAGCTGTGTGTTGATGGCAGACTAGAAGGGCAATACCCTCCCAACGCACTTGCAAAGGTAATTGTTGAATTTTGATAGAGATAATGGAGCTTCGGTTCAAAGCATTGGCCTTAACAGACGTCTGCTTTTTTCCGACAACAGCTGGCCTCAGTTGCCGCGTTGTGTGTTCAATTTGAAGCCGATTTTCGACCTAATATGAGCATCGTGGTGAAAGCTCTTCAGCCTCTTTTGAACACAAGTCGCCCCACAACTTCCCACGCCCAAAGTGACAGGCGACGTTTGTGATGAAAGACGAGCAGCTATCGTCTCGAGACTAGTCGAAGTCGAAAAATCTGTCTTATGATTGGTTTTGTAGATAGGTGCTGGCAGAATCTGTAGGGAATATCATGGTAATGAAGTGCGGGCCAAAGAGTGTTTCTAACGTATTGCCTGTCTGTATTTTTACATTGGATCTTCCTTTCATTCCAAAGAATACGATTGTGACACTTGAGGAAATTGTTGCAGACTGGACAAGTTTGGAAACTGTAATGTCATTATCGTTGGACCTAAAACCATGTGTAAAGATGCCGATGCCATCCATCTTCTTCGAGGGCACACTTATTTTTGCCCCTCCTCCAGAACATGGAATGCGATGCCAAAAATCGACATTATCTGCCAGTTAAGGTAACTCCTGCAGCAGTAAACCAACATAAATCGAGCACGAACAACCTTAAAAATTAACAAATGGACATTTCTTTTTTACCTAAGTATCGAAATTTGACAGATTTAGCAGAAACAACAGCTAAAGCTTAGGTATGGACCAGAACCAATAATGGTACTTCCTGCAACAGCCACACAAACAAACAGCATCTTTTTTGGTCGTAATTTTCAGCTAAGCTTAGTATTTTCATTCTTCTCCATCCCAGCAACAAAGAATTCATAATATCGATCTAATTCGCCTAATCTGAATAACAGGCCAAAATTATATAGAATCCATATAGATATATACAGAAAATCTAGTGGCAATGACCTTTAAGAAGATATATAATTCAACTAAAGGGCCATCTGAAGGTATCGGAATAGAATCGAATGCAATGGCGGTGGTTTCCCTTGTTCTCAGCCTCCAAACCCCGTGTTATCCCCGAGTCTACAGTTGATTTTTTCATTCAGCTCCCAACCTCGGATCCGGAATATCACTCCGATCAGCATCGGAGTTTTCCTTCTGTGTATCAACATCTGAATTAACTGACTGATTCCTTCTGCGTCTTCTATCCTGAAAATTCCGTCCAGATACATATTCGGAGTGAGTCAAGCTATAGCTTTCACCGTAAACTAGACATTCTCCTGTACAACAATTAATCTAAATGCGAGCTAGTAAAGTATCAGAATCAAACCTCTCGAGGAATAGGATACTCCTCTGCTTCAAGCATGCGAGCAACCTGACTCATCTTTGGTCTTTTTTCGGCATCAGGATCAACACATCTTAAAGCAGTCAAAAGGGCACGTTTAAGGGCACTAGTTGATGGTCTGGTCTCAATGTTAGGGTCAACTACTTCCTCCGAACGTCTGAGTTGAACCATCATCTTTAACCACTCAACCATATTTACCTGAGATTTCAGGGTACAATTGGTCATGTGAAAAATGTTATACCAAGTCTTTTCGAAGCCTATGCCGATGAAGAAGTGTTGTTAAGTACCTCGGGCTTAGGACGACCGTAATCTATGGGGCATCTTCCAGTAATTGCTTCTAAGAGCACAACGCCAAAACTATAAACGTCACTCTTCTCGTTCAGGAGGCCGGAGTTGGCATATTCTGGAGCAACATAACTGAAAGACCGTGCAAACAGGAGACAAAGATGTCATTAACCAACAATTTTTTAGCATCTCGAATGATCTAACTCCTAACTCGAAGTAAAAACAAAAAGAATTGAAAAACAATGATAAAATAAACCAGAGAATGAATTATCTAGTAACAGTATATATCATAAAGGAAGGGCACTATTCTCACCCGAAGGTACCCATAACTCTCGTAGTGATATAACTTTTCCCGTCACCTAGCAGTTTGGCCAGACCAAAATCAGATATCTTCGCATCGAAGTTGTCATCAATCAGTATATTACTTGACTTTATGTCTCTATGCACGACTTTTGGTTCAATCGCCTCGTGTAAATATGCCAGCCTGCAAAGTTTAGATTTTAGTAACAATTAAGGTTAAAACCAAGGTAAGCATTAACAACCAAGATTTTCGTTTAAGGCCGAGTGGTTGACTTACGCTTTGGCAGTGCCAAGAATGATCTTTATCCGAGCCTCCCAGGTAAGATATCCCTTGTGAGACATATCCCCACGGAGCCATTGCTCCAAATTGCTGTTGTTGACATATTCATAAACCAATAACCTGGATTTTATAGCAGAAAGTTTAGAAAACAACAGTAAATATCGGTTTTCTTTCTATTCTGCATATTATACTCACACTAATAACAGACATAACAATGCTTGAGGAAATATTCGAAACTGGGGACTACATAGAACAACATAGTACCTTTGTGTGCCCTCGATGCAATACCCAAGAAGTCGAACTAAGTTTTTATGACGCACATGACCAACGGCTTCAACTTCCACCCGGAAATCCTTGTCAGCTTGTCCCCTAAAGAAAACATAGAATCATTATCAGCCAACGCTACAATCTGCAGACAGCATAACATAGACAAAAGGATTGATCTTCCATATAAATAAGCTTCACTGCAACATACGTATGGTTAAGAAGCTTTTTGACAGCTACGGGAGTCCCGTTAATCAGATTGCCTCTATAAACAACTCCATATCCACCATCACCGATAATATTATCCCTCGAAAACCGGTTAGTTGCAAGGTGTAGGTCTCTGAGTGTGAACCAATGACCCCAGCCTAGACGTGAAGTTTCAGACAGGCCAGACAAAGGCGAAGGAGCAGTCAAAGGATGCGAAGATGGTTGAGACCCTTTAACATCTTTCTCCACATGATTATTAAAAGACCCCGGCCGGCTGCTATCGTTTCCATTTTCGACATTAAACAAAACCTTCTCCGAATCTCTATCACTGAACTTCTCATTAAGGGTGTTCACCCTACCATTGTTCGCCGATGCTTGATCAACTCCTATCTCTTTAATTTCCTCCAACACACGAGGCGCTTGGCTCAGAGGAAGCATGGCATTCCCCCTTCGGGTTTTCTTCCGAAAACTAAGCCACAGTGACACGCTAAGGATAACTACAAACACCAACCCTAAGCCAATTACAATAAGAAGCCACAATTGCAGACCAATGTATACTTTGGACAGAGTTTTGTTTAGATCAGATGCCATTGTTCACCAACACCAAGATGCCTGAAACACGTTTAACTAAAATAACTTAACAATCAAGAACAGATACATATTTCTGCATTCATTCAATATATCAAGTGGTTTATGACCAAAAGGAAATATCAATCAAATCTATTTGACAGCAAAAAAGTGCAGAGTGAAAGCAAAAATCGAAAAAATAAGAAGAAATAGAGTGCTAACCACAATCAAGTTTGCAGAAAGAACCCCAAAAGACCCTTCAACCTGCAAAAAAGGAACCCTTTTTTTCACACAATAAACAAAAACCAGGCATCACATTTCCAATAAACACTCTACATTTGACAAATCATCACAAATAAAGACTGGAACCACTGCTAATATGAGGGGCAAAGGGGGGAAAGGAAGAAGAAAGGAGCAAAATTTAGGCGTGTGGGTGTTTATAAAGAAGACATTGGTAAATCCCAGAGGAAATGAAAGCATAGTGAGAGGCGAGAAAAGGGGGTGTTGGACTATAAAAAAGATGGGATTTTTGTGGGGTTTCCATGTGATAAATGGGTAATTATTCACAAGAAGAAGGCGTGGAATTGCCAGAGGTATGTAATGAAGAAAGACATGCCCTTACAGTAACAGTGAAACGGAAGCAGCTTACACAACACAACAAAACAAAACAACTGAAAAACCCCTTTGCTTTCTTTGCCGTTTTTCACTTTTCTTTCTTCATCTGTCACAAATTTTTATATTGATTCATTATGACCATATATTCCAAATCCTTGATTGTTGTTTTAGATGTTCATTTTGTAATTTCAACAGTCTTCTTTTGAAATAGAGGTTAGTCTTTATGTATTAGATCTGCATGCATTAGTCAAAGAAACACACTGGATGCGAATACCACCGGCCTTTTGATTGACCATATACATATTCATGGTATATACAAGATGGATGGCCATGTGTAAGTATGTATGATTGAGGAATCAAGCATAGTCCCCATAGATAAAAGTTAAAAAGTGGGGTTGGCATTACAAAGTTTGCAGAAGCATTCATTCCAAGGCTAAACCCCACAATGATGATAAGAATAGAAGGGCATAATTTGCTGTAATAATGAAACATAGGATGAATGATAAGGTGCAGAGGAATGGTGGTTGTTTTGATAATCCAATGTTTTTCTTTCTTAATATATGTGTGTGTGTTATTGTGTGTAGATAATCCAATGTTTTGATCTACCTTGTAAAGGTCAATGATTATTGTAGAACTCAACTAAGCCAAAGCCCCCAGATTGCTTCAGATATCAGTTACCAGTACAGAGAGATGATGATGAGATGTTAATTCATTTTTCTTTCTTCTTTATCTATCTATCATCAATCATGACCATCCACGGGGGGAATTCATCATTATTCTATTGCCACTTTCTCAATGCCTGTGTATGAACAAACTAAAGGTATAATATATATATTCTCAACCTGAATTCACATGTGCGCCATTTGCACCTTACAAAATAGAAAAAATCCAAAAACAAAAGAGAAAAAAAGGGGTATCCATCACTGTGTTGTGAGATTTTCCAGCCTGCTGCATCCGTGGCCGTGAAGATGAAGAAACACGGCATCATCACTTCATGATCAGCACACCCTACCAGATGATGAAGATGTGTTTTCTTTTCCAATGGTGAAGTTACGGTTTTGGTCTCTCTACTATAATTAAATTTAAGATTTAGTTCTCTAACTTGATAAAATTTGATTTTTTTTAAAGAGAAAATAACTTCAGTGACCGAAAATGCCTTATAATATACGATTTTAACCAAATTTTTTTAGATTTGCCAAAATGACCAACAAATTCGCAACGCGATCTCAAATTTGCAACGCGAACTCCAATTTCGCAACCCAGTTTCCAATTTCGCAACGCGAATTTGTAAATCGCAACACAGAAGTCAAATTCGCAACGCGATAGTCAAATTCACAACACAAAAGTCAAATTCGCAACGCGGAATTTCAAATTCGCAACTGAAATTCAAATTCGCAACTAGATTTTCGAATTCGCAACACGAATTTAATTTTGCAACAGGTTTTAGTTTCGCAACACAAATGTTTTGGGTATATAATAACGCAGCAACAACAACTCATAACCTAAATCCCTAAATCGCAACTCACTCCATCTCCATCTATCACTCTAGCCGACGACATCCGTTCCTATATCCAACGACATCCTTCCCCATCTCTAATTTTTTTATATAATTTTATTTCTATATAACTTTTCAATGATTTCTCTCCCAAATTATCAACTATCAACTTAATAAAGATATGTTTTTCTCTAAGTTAGTGATGATATCTAGTTTATAGCTCGTTTGTTTGGTAAATTAATTTACAATTTGTAGAATGAAATCATCTAATGTTGATCATGTTTGGATAGATTTGTGTTTTGGAGGGTCATGAGAGAATGTGCATGGTGTTTTACAATATGTGTCTTTACCCATGAATCTTCAACTAAAACTGTCATTAAAAAGTTAACTTATGAAACTCTAATGTTACGTGTTGCAAAGAAATTGAATTTAGAGCCTCTAAGTGGATTTAGGCTATCTTATCAGAGAAAAGGTAAAGTTTATTTGTTAACCGACAATGAAGATGTTGAACGATTCATTGCTTACATTAGTGTTTCGCAAGAAGATGATGTTACATTGTATGTTGTTGAACCTAGAAGTAGTGAAGTTGGGTCAGTAGTGGGTAGTAATCAACTAAGTTCTTCAACCCCAGTTTATGGTGCTCACAATGTACAACGTTGTTATCAACCTCAAAATTTAATGGTTCCACCATAATTTCATCACCAAGAAAATTTTGTTTCACCACATTTCCAATACCAAACACAATATCAAACACAATCTCAAAACTCACAACCTTTTCCTAATCCAAATCCCAATCAACTTTCAGTACCAAATTTCGGTTTTCGTATTGACCAGTTAGATGATTATGAGCCAACAGAAAAAATTGTGAGTACTAGTCAGTATTCGAAATTTGATCTTGGTCAATACCTGGACTTTGATCTTGGTCAATACTCGGATTTTGATGATGTGATGGAAGAAGAAACAAACCCTACATGTAATGATTTTGATATTGGTCAATACTCGAATTTTGATGATAAAACAGCCGATACCGAGGAAGATGTTGATGATAATGAGGAGGAAGTTACGACTGTGAATGAACATGTTGAATATCCATTCTGTAATTCATATAACCCTGAAGAAGAAAAAGAAGAAGAAGAAGTCCCCGAAGAAAAGAAAAAGAAGAAAATGCCACGAGAGTATAACTGGAATATGCCAGAATTACTTCAGATACCGGAAGAAGAGTTGGTAAAGATAGCAGTTGATTGTTACACAAAAGTTATTCGCATCAAGAAAGATGATTGTTTTGATACAAAGGAAGACTTGAAGATAGCTTTGTATACGAAATGTGTGGAAGATGGCTATCAACTAAAAGTTAACAAATCATGCAAAGATCGTTTCGAAACAATGTGTATGATTGACAAAAACTGTACGTGGCGTATGATTGCAAAGAGGATAAAAGATTGCGAAATGTTTCAAGTTAGGACTTTTATTGATAAACATACATGATCAAGAACCCAAGTTTTTCCTCACCATAGACAGGCAAACAAAAAGGTGTTTGGTGGTTTTCTGGCTGAGTTAATGTTTTTGAATGGAATGGTATATCGGGGACATGAAATTATGACTGACATGAAAGCTCGGTTCAAGATTAGTATCTCATATTCTCAAGCTTGGAGAGCCAAATGTTATGCCTTGGAATTGTTGAGGGGGTCGCCAGAAGCATCGTTTGCCCAACTGTCGGCTTATTGTCACAATTTAAAGCTGAAAAATCCTGGGTCGGTAACTCATATCAAAACAGATAGAGATGGACGCTTTGAGTTGCTGTTTATCGCTATTGGTGCTGCGGTTAGTAAATAATTATAATTTTGTTGACTCGTTTTTGTTAGTTGCATGCATTTCACATTTAAATGATTATATTTATTGTGTATATGATTTTGTAGATTCGTTCGTTTATTACTTGCATGCGCCCAATTATTATAGTTGATGGAGTACATTTGAAAGATTGATACCTTAGAGTAAACTTATTAGCAGTAGCCATTGATGCTAACAATGGGATACTGCCAATAGCTTATGGGGTTTGCAAATCTGAAACCTCTGATTCATGGATATGGTTTATGGGGCATCTTAGGGATTATATAAGTCCTATTAACAATCTGACAATCATATCCGATAGGGAAAACTCAATTGACAACGCTGTTAGAAGGTGTTTCCCAGATGTTTTTCATGGACTTTGTGGTGTTCATTTGTACAGAAATATAAAATCAATGTCTGCTGGTATAAAAATCACAAATGGACATACTGGAAGGCTGTAAAAGCTTATCGGGAAGTGGATTTTAATAAGCATATAAATTGTTTAAGACGTGTTTTGCCTCAATGTGCTCAAACACTAGAAGATGTCGGGTTTGAAATATGGTCAAGAGTACATCAACTTGGAGCAAAATATGGTTTCATGACGTCTAATAGTGTAGAATCAATCAACGCTCTAAGTCGTTATTCCCGGAAATTACCCATTACTATGTTAATGGAGTTTTTTCGAGCCTCTATTCAATAGTGGTACTACAAGAAAAGAAATCATGCATGTATTATTTCTTTAAATTCGTAACTTATCATATATTTTACTAAGTATTATTTATTTAAATTTATAGGAACATTGGAACGTCGTGTTACACCATGGACTGAAAAAAAAGATAACGAAACGTGTTGTGAAGTCAACGTCATGGAGAGTTGAACCATGTTCAAACACTTTGTTTGAAGTATTGGATAATAACTTAAATGGGCTTGTCGATCAAAATGCAAAGACGTGTAGTTGTAAAAAATGACAAACATCTGGTTATTCGTGTGGCCATGTTATAAAAGTTGCTCTTCATCTAAACTAAGATGATTCAATCGCATACGCCATGGATTGCTACACTATAGAAGTATATCGACAGACTTATGCCGAGATTGTCTACCCATGTCCACATCCTTCTGAGTGAGACATACCAGATGACTTACAAATAGTTTTGCCACCAGTCATGGACAGCATGCTACCTGGCCGACCAAAAAATCACGATCGTATACCGTCTAAGGGTGAAGAGAAGAGGATATCGACATGTAGTCGGTGCAAGGAAATTGGTCATACAAGATTAACCTGTGGATCACCAGTGCCATCACAATCATCTTTTCCTCTACCAAAAAATAGATCCTCATCAAAATCCAAAGCTCATATGTTGCAAGCAAAAGGAAATCAAAATCGCAAT